TGCCTCACCGAAAGGATTCCTCTTAAACCGTGCCGTTAAGTATGCTACGTCAGCTGCTGCTGAGAAGCCGAAGGCGACTCCTCCTAAACCTTCCGGTAATGAACCTACCGGAAAAATCACCGATGAGTTCACCGGCGCTGGTTCGATAGGGAAAGTGTGTCAGGTTATTGGTGCCGTCGTAGATGTGAGATTCGATGAAGGTTTGCCTCCGATCCTTACGGCGCTTGAGGTTTTGGATAACCAGATCCGGCTTGTGCTTGAGGTTGCTCAGCATTTGGGTGAGAATATGGTTAGGACTATTGCTATGGATGGTACTGAAGGTCTTGTTCGTGGTCAACGCGTCCTCAATACTGGCTCTCCTATCACTGTGAGTGATCTGATCTTTGCTTTACTGGTTTAGAACATACATTTCTTAAGGAATTCGGCAATGTGATACTGATCTATTTTTGTCTGGTGGCTCGGAACCGATTTTATTTAATTATTCTAGATGATATATGGTTTAATTCACCGATTTATGTTAAAATTGATTGAATTATTTTATTGATCTAGATTTCTGGTTTTGTCGGCTAATCCTAGGGCTATTATTTTCATACTGATTGAAGTATTTTTGATAAAGTAACAAATTTTATTGAAAGTTTGGGAAGAATATACCAAAAAGTAAAAACCTAGGAGTTTTTTGAAGCTGCAAATGTGTAACTAGAGCGGAGTGTATGGTTTATAGGTTTGCTTATGATATAGTAATGGGCATTTCTTTGCTCCCAAATATAGTGCACGTGTCTGGTTATCCTAGTATGGATTCAGATGTGTGTTAATATGTTTGTTTTTCTCGTAAGAGCTGTATTTTTCATTGGATGGAGTATGTTGAAGTTCTGAATTGCCATCTACTGGTTTGTGGAGTTACTCATGTCTATTCACAACAAGATGAGATACAGTTCTTTGCTTTAACTGATGAACGGATTTGCCACTGTATTACACACCCTTTCGTTTCTGAAAGTTCATTTTCCTTGTAAAATGTTGTGAAAATTTTCCCATTTCACTTATTTCTCTCACTTGAATGAGAAAGAGACTCCTGCTGTGCAACTCTTTTGTTCTTCAAACATGTCTGTTCTTCAAAATTGTTTTGTTTCTCCTCCTCCCCCCCCCCCCCCCCCCCCCGGAGAATATAGTCTTTTCTTACTTATTTGTCATTTCCTTTTACGCGTGAGTTCAGTTCTAAAATTTTGTTGTCTTTTTTCTCTTTTCTCCTAAAAGAAAAATTATTGAGTAATGGAATGAAACATTGTTCAAATGGATCAGAATTGATACTGAGAACTTATAGCTTACCGCAACTAGTTTGGAGAGTTTGGAGTTGAGGTATACTAATTGTTGTTTCATCTCAGTTGATATCCTGCTTTCAGTGGGAATGCAGATAAATAGATTGATCTGGCATTCACTCGCTGCGTATTTTGTGCGGAAATTGATGGTTTCCATTGTGATTCCAGGTCCCTGTTGGTAGGGCCACCCTTGGTCGTATTATTAATGTCATTGGAGAGCCTATTGATGAGAGAGGCGACATTAGTAAGTTTTAAATGCTGTTTATCCCTTCTCCAAATTGTCCATGTGAATGGTTCTAAACATTGCTTTTCTCTCTCTAAAAATTGCTGCAGACACCGATCACTTTTTGCCAATTCATCGTGAAGCCCCTGCCTTTGTTGAGCAGGCAACTGAACAACAAATTCTCGTTACTGGTATCAAGGTATGCTAATCAAAAGAATTTTAGTCAGTGCTCTCGTTTCCATCACCTTTTCTGACCATATATTGGTTCCTGAAGTGTAACTCTTATTTGACATTATGACATACGATGTCAATTTCATTATTGCTGTTTGACTTCCGACCAGGTTGTTGATCTTCTTGCCCCTTACCAAAGGGGAGGAAAGATTGGGCTTTTTGGTGGTGCTGGTGTTGGGAAGACTGTGCTTATTATGGAACTGATTAATAACGTTGCAAAAGCGCACGGTTAGTGCTGCTTCCGAGTTCTCTTCTTGTTAGCTCAAACATAAATTAGTGTGTGAAGCTTATCTGTCAGAGGATTGACTTTTTTCTTCAGGTGGTTTCTCTGTCTTTGCTGGTGTTGGTGAACGCACTCGTGAGGGCAATGATTTGTACAGGGAGATGATTGAAAGTGGTGTCATTAAGCTTGGTGACAAGCAAGTACGCGTCCTATTTAATCAGAAGTTATTTGCTATACCCCTTTAGCCTACAGTGTTAGTCCAGACTGTTGTTGACATTTTGTCTTATTGGTTTTATCAGAGTGAAAGCAAGTGCGCTCTTGTGTATGGTCAAATGAATGAGCCCCCTGGTGCTCGTGCCCGTGTTGGTCTTACAGGCTTGACTGTGGCTGAGCACTTCAGAGATGCTGAGGGACAGGATGTGCTTCTCTTCATTGACAACATTTTCAGATTTACCCAGGTTGGCTTGCCTATGAGGCTGAAGTTCTCTTTATAAAAAATGATGGCTGAAGTTTCCTTAAATATGCAAACTTCACCCTTGCTAAACTTGTTGCTTCTGCATTGAAACAGGCTAACTCAGAGGTGTCTGCTTTGCTTGGTCGTATCCCATCTGCTGTCGGTTATCAACCAACTTTGGCTACAGATCTTGGAGGTCTTCAAGAGCGTATCACTACAACTAAGAAAGGTTCTATTACATCAGTCCAGGCTATTTATGTGCCTGCTGATGACTTGACAGATCCTGCCCCTGCAACTACCTTTGCTCATTTGGATGCCACAACTGTCTTGTCCCGTCAAGTATAACGCCATCTCGTCACTTGCTCTGTAACTTTATATTTCACCCCTTGTAGAGTTTGCTTTAAATTTTCTAACTTCATATATTTGAATTCCAGATTTCTGAGCTAGGTATTTACCCTGCTGTCGATCCTCTTGATTCTACATCTCGTATGCTCTCACCTCACATTTTGGGAGAAGACCACTACAATACTGCTCGTGGGGTACAGAAAGTTCTTCAGAACTACAAGAATCTTCAAGATATTATTGCCATTTTGGGTATGGATGAGCTTAGTGAAGATGATAAGATGACTGTTGCCCGTGCACGTAAAATCCAAAGATTCCTTAGTCAGCCTTTCCATGTTGCTGAAGTTTTCACCGGTGCCCCTGGAAAGTATGTTGACTTGAAGGAGAGCATTAACAGTTTCCAGGTAATGAACCTCAAATTTGGAATCTTGTCGTCGGTTATTATGGTTGGTTAAAACTCGTAAAAAAGAATGTCACTTGGATCTTAAAACACTTGGGTAGTCTACTTTGAATCAATTATTCTTCTACCATACCCTTTTGCTACATGTTATTTCTCCTGATTGCCTTGTCTACCTCTTCAGCAAGTTGAGAGGTGATGCTATTTCCAATTAAATTCTAAATTTTTTTAAGTTTTTGGTGGAGTTTATTCGAGAAAAGAAATTCTTGTTATGTGCATATTTGAGTCTGATATAACTTGCTGGCATCTGATACTGATTATTTCTGTGATTGATTTTTCCAGGGAGTCTTGGATGGAAAATACGATGACCTTTCAGAACAGTCATTCTATATGGTTGGTGGAATCGAAGAGGTCATTGCCAAGGCAGAGAAGATTGCCAAGGAATCTGCAGCTTAGATTATGGACTCCAGTGACTTTCTTTCATTATCTTTCATCGATAACTACAGAAATAATTTAAGTTTCTGTGACACTTTGGATTCTTTTTGAGAGGACCAAGGGGTCCAAGATTTTCTGGTTTTTGTTTTTATATGCAATCCGGAATTGTGATAGGGAAGACATGGAGCTAAGGCCTACTTGCCAAACACCCACCCTTGACGCTCTGTTATGTCGCAAAATAAAGGGGGTAAAGCGGCGAACTTGTATATTTTACTTTGAATTCATCTTTGAGAATGTTGGTTGCCCAAATTATGAGGGTTTTCTTTACGTTACTTTCATTCTGAATACCTTTTGGAAGTGGCATAACGTCCATGTCGATCAGTCAGAAGTTTGGTCTTAAACAAAAGTCTTGAAATTGCACTTATGTTGACAATTCTTTGGGTAGAATTGGAGTAGAACTCTGGTCTCTCGGGTAGCTTTCCAAAATGGAAATCAACTCCTGACTAGAGGTTCCACATGTATACTACTTGGAAGCAAAGTAGCATAACTACTTGCCGTCCCTCTCTTGGTTAATTTATTGTTTTAGTTTCTTAGTTTTGACGTTATTCAGTTACCCTTTATATCTAAGGACTGCATAGTTGGACCGGAACCTAGAATCGCTAGTCGGATTGTGAGCTATGTTATATGTGGAGATAGTATTAAGGAGTATGGTAGGATAGTGGATGAACGGATATCTTCATTCTTAGTCATTTGTTCTCGTCTGGTTATGTTTTTATGCGTCGCGAACTCAAATCAATAAGAGTTTGTAAATTTTGAATAAGAATTGCATCAAGGAAGAAAAAAAGGTAGTCCTGCATTCACGCAGGATTCGAAAAAGGGTTATCTTAAGCGCATGATTCGAAAAAGGGTTGCATCTTAAGTGGTGTGATGTAGATAGCCTATCCTAATGCTTGCATTAAGAGCTGCTTTTACGGTTCCTCGTGATTTATATGTGGTTTTTACGATTTGAATTCGTGACCTATAGGTCACACAACATAACTTTACCGTTGTTCCAAGACGGAAAGAAAAATAAAAAAAAAATAAGACTAGTTTGAATTATTTTTGAAATACTACAACGACAACTTAGTAAAATTTTACCAAATGAGGTATGAGGAGGGTATACTGTATGCAAACCTTAGTAAAATTCTACCAAATAAGGTCTGAAGAGGATATACTGTATGCAAACCTTACCTGTGCCCGTAGGAGCTTGTTCCCAAAAATATTACTACTATTATTTCCAAAAGATGAAGGCATTAAGCATGTTGACGGAGTAGATTTTCCTCTAATTAAAGTGGAAATGGAGAAGCACGGAACATATACTAGGGTCTCAAAAACTTATCATGAAGTGAACACGTGGAAACCAACAATTTATTGGCTAAAAATCCACGCACGGGGGCGTATTCTGAATTTCTATTACCCGCCCACCCTTCTCGGCGGCGCTAACTTTCTCCACAACACATCTCCACGACATATAATTGAAAATGTCAATCCTTTCTCTCTCCCTTTCTCCATTTCCTAATTATCCCGCTCTATCCCACCTTAGTTCCCATGCTCCCTCACACATCCAATCACTCCACCCTTCTTCATCCATGACCCTCCTTAGACCTCTCCACCACCAACTCCGCCACCAGTTTCGCCGTCGTCTGTCCATTTCCGCCGCTGCCGTCCGTCAGGACACGAACCTCTGGACAACCGCACCTCTCGTCACCGTTTCACCCGCCGCCGACGAATCTCTCTTCCACGTCACTATCGACGTATCTGACTCTCCTGACCTCGCCGCCTCACACACTAAAGCCGGTCAGTACCTCCAGCTCCGCATTCCCGACGTCGAGAAGCCGGCGTTTTTAGCAATCGCATCTCCGCCGTCGCTTGCTTCCTCCAAAGGCGTATTTGAATTCCTCATAAAAAGTATCTCTGGATCCACCGCGGAGCTCCTCTGTGGACTTCAGAAAGGCGATGTTGTGGAGTTGAGTCACGTCATTGGGAAAGGCTTTGATTTGGATCAAATATCTCCGCCAGAGAAGTATCAAACAGTTTTAATCTTCGCTACCGGATCCGGAATTAGGTAAACTCCTAATGCTTTGAATTTTTTGATAATTACTTGCTCTTTCTTATTCCTAATAAAAGTCTAATAGTTTAGCTTTTTGTACTTATTTTTCTATATAATGTGCTATTTTGTAGTTCTGTTTGTGCTACAATGTAGAGGAGGATTTCTTGTTTTAGTTGTGTTGTTCAGTGTATGATATTGTTTGAAAGATTTGGTTCAGGATAAGTTGTTTGAAAGATTTGGTTCAGGATAAGTTACATATTCAGAGTGAGTTTAAATTGAGATGGATGATTTACCAATAGTTCATTTATGCAAGAACCTGTTTTTGGAAGGAGAACCTGTAAAAAATCTACCATTATCAAAAAAAAGAAAAAGAAAAAGAAAAAAAGAAGAAAAAGAAAAAAGAGAATGTGCAAATCATCTACTAGATAAGCCTATTGTTATGCAACTCAACTTGTACCATAGTTGCTAGATGCTTTCTCATTATGCTTGAGGTTAGAGGTGTGAGATGCCATGTAAACTTTAGATTAGCTTTGGGTGTTCGTTTGTGCTTCATTTCAGTAAGCTGGTTAGATGTGTTCTTTGATCTTTTAGTGACTAATGATTTATCATAAAGATGAAGTTGCCAAGACTGAAAGCTGCAATCTTGTCTGGTAGTGGACTAGAGGTGATCAGCTCTACAGCTGCAAGCCTACTTTTTGTAGTATAACATGGTTTAAGTCTTTATCATGCAGTTACGTAACTCACTCGTAACGCCTGACTACCATCCGATATTTGTGTAGTGGATGTTGGCAAATATGTTTAGTTTGTATATTTGTCTTTGTTCTATTTTTTAATTTTGTTCTTCTTTCTCCTGCATCTCACTCCTTTATCCTTAATCTGTTTTTGGCAGCCCAATTCGATCGCTGATTGAGGCAGGATTTAGCGCAGACAAGAGATCTGATGTTCGGCTATATTATGGTGCAAGGAATTTGAAGAGAATGGCATACCAGGTTTGTTGTGTGCTCGCAAGATGTAGACAATTTCTGTCTTCCTTGTGGCAGAAATACAGGATAAAACTTTGTATCTGCTGTTTGATATTTTGATAAAGTGTATCTGTCGTTTGATTTCTTCGTCCTTTTACTTTTATAGGATAGGTTTGAGAACTGGGCATCCTCTGGGGTAAAGGTTGTGCCGGTGTTGTCTCAGCCTGATGATGCTTGGACAGGCGAGCGTGGCTTTGTTCAGGTAATGATATGTTTACATTTGTATCTTCTAATAATCTTATTTTGATTTTATCTGTTGCTCAACAATAAAATTTGTTTCACCATCTGCTTTTGCAGGCCGCATTTGCCCGAGCTAAAAACATTTTTAGTCCTCAATCCACTGGAGCAGTACTCTGTGGTCAAAAGCAAATGGCTGAGGTTTGTAGTTAGTTTACTTTAAAGTATTTGTTCATCATATTTTCTGTCCTTCCTTGCTCTTTATCCATTCTGGAGAGGCCAATAGTCTTTCTTGTTTTGCACTTGTTTTTGTCTAACAGCTACTTGACCTCCACGTTTCTATTCATCTTAGAATCAAGAGAGCTGAGATTCGATCCCAAGAATTCTAAAGCAAAAACAAATGTTTGCTTTGTTAACTATAATATGAACGAATGCTAAATTGTGAGTCTTTAAGACTTGTAATACAATTTGATAAGAAAATCTTTTTTCATGAGACAAGAGGCTTGCTTGGATATATTTCTGTGAAATAGGATTGTAGAACTTAGTGGTTTAGGACTCACTTAATGACAGACTTCTTTGGATATATTTTGTTTTGGACATGAGTTTGGTCAGTTTGAAAATTGAAACGAGACTAATATCTTAGGGAAGTTGGTGCTATGACATGCCTAGAGACGGTTGTGTAGTCTTAGACTGCGAGTTACATCATGTTGTCATGAAATACATTCCATGACATTTTTTCTTATCAAGCAATCCAGTGAGTGTACTATTTTAGAGATTAGCTTCAATTAAAGCTAGAATTGTTTTCATGTTTAGCAATTGATTTGGCGGATAGCACCAGAATTCATGGTAAGGTTTATCGGATAGCCTTCCATATAGTAGGTTATGTCTAGACTAGTACGACCAAATGAACTCATGCGATTGGTGTACTTGGAATGTGATTATTGAGTTATCTTCAGGATTTGAGAAGAAACTCTTTCTTGCTCTCTAACAACCCATTTCCCCTTTGAAAGCACTAGATGTTACCTAGGGAATTTATAGTTAGCCGTCTGCGAATCACGATAGCTTGGGAATCCATTTGAAGGATGTCCATAAATACTAGTATCGCCTCTTGGAAAGTTTACGCCTGACTCACTCTAGAAAGAAAGATTGAAGGACACGACTACAACTTTCATTGAAAAAGGGATTTTGATACTGTGATAGGAATGAAACTTCTGTTGATAGATCAAAATTCGCATCCGCCCATCTAAGAGATTTTTTCGTGCCAGGTCATGAGCTATGTTGAGTGATAAAGAGAATAGGGATTTGCCTGAGACATTAGAAAGAGCGAGAAAGGGCTTGTTGAAGTCAATTCCCCAGCTCTTGAATATGTGCTACAAATCTTAATTTATAGTGCATGCGGCTATATTGAGGTGTGGTATCCGTAATTCAACAAGTTACATATCGAACCTACTGGCCGTAGTCTTAAGTCTCACCTTCATCCATCATCAAAGCATTACAACGTGTTTGTCCAGCAAAAAAGGAAAAAAGGATTCAACCATACGTGTGGAGCATATTGAACAAATTACTTGATAAATAAAAGTGTCCCACCTCTAATAGTTTGAAATTTTAGTAGTACCATAATTCACCAGAAGGTAATTAGAAAACTTTAGGTTATTTTAGTCTTAGATCTATTGGAATGGTATAACCATATTTCCTTGAATTCCATTTTGGAGATTTGTACTCATGAGACTGAAGCACTCAGTTATCCCTTTTTTCCATGTTGATGAATTATTTAACCCTTGAATGCTTTTGGAAGCATATAGTTTGTATCAATTACCAATAGTGCTTCTTCATGCTGGTTACACTCTTTTGCACGTTGCTGTTATGAGATGGATTAATCGGTGCTTGAGCAGCTGCAATTGTTTCGTCAAGACTTGGTTATGTACTGATACTAGGTGCTTGAATCTGTTTCCTTTTTATCTTTAATATGTTCACTTGGGCATTTTATGTAAGCAAAGAAACTTCTGGGTCAAACGATTACTTAGTGCCACTAAAGGACTGAAAAGTTTCCTGATGCAGTTGAGTGGAGGGAACTGAGTATGCCTGCCAGGTGATCACCATTAAGGTGGCACTCAGAAACCAGGGGCTGCCTAATCAAAAGTTATTGGGTACTGATTCCAATAGGCAGATCTCTTTCTGTTTGTCCATTTATTAAGGTGATTATGTTTGGAACTCTTGCTGTTTGTATGGGATTAGGCCCGTAGGATTTTAGATACCATTAAGAAAGGTCTACTTGGTAACTGGCGTTAGCATGTGCATTTCGCTAAGTGTGTATACAGCTTCGGATTGTCATGATCTGGTAGATAGATGCTGCGATGTCTACGGAATTGTACTCCTCCTTTTATCTTATGCAGGGAATGACTTGCTTTTTTCCAAATATGCAGCAGGAAACTAGGGAAATTTGTTATTCTTCTCCTTCCCGAACGGAAGTGAATTTTGTTTGAACTAGATCAATATATCCTAGTGATAGATATTCCTATCCACACTCAAAACTGTTAGTATTTGATATCTGAAGACGTTTGATGAGAAAGTAGGTGTAAAACTTAGCGACTTGTTCCTCTTAACTGAAAGTTGATGAAGGTTGTGATCAAAATATTCAAAAAAATAGACAACTTTCAAGTAGAATTTCTGCAACTTTCACTGTTTAGTAAAATCAGAGTGTGAGAATCCATAAGCCGGAAATTGTTATAACTTCTGGCGTATTTATAGTGAACTGCTTTATTTTTTAGGAAAGAGTATTTTTTACTTTGTTCTTGTTGAAAGTTCAACAAACTTGGTTTACAATTGCCATGTACTATTGCCAGACATGTGTGAAGAAATTTTCACTTTCAAGAACATAAGCATCAATATATTTGGATCATTGGCCCAGATTTAGAATTTGTATCCCTTGACTCTTCTTGCAGGAGGTGACTGCTCTTCTTGTAGCAGATGGAGTCTCAACCGAGAAGATTCTGAAGAACTTCTAAACAAAAATATTTTTTGGTTCATCGTGTTGTATTGTTGTCTAGTATAAAACCCAAATTCATTGAATTTCACCTGCTGGCTACAAGGAATCCAGCATGGAACAGCATAATGTACAACTCTTCGCGTCAACTTATACAAAGTCCAATTCTCAGTGACTGCTCCTTTTCAGGAGGTGAAGCATCTTTTAATGCAGTCAATGGTGGATAAACAGGACTGAAGAGGGCGAAAGCTGAAATGCCACTGTCCTTTCTTGCTTCTGTTTTATTGAGTAGGCAGGCTAGTAATTAGCGCCTCTAGACCTGTAACCAATCGCCTTCTTTTTGTCATATACAAAACACAAGGCATCAAGTTGCTGTATTGAATTATTTACAAGAAATTTTTTGACCATTTCTGGTGCAATAAGGTATAAAATCTTGAGAATTCACAAATTTATAGAACTGTCATCGATATTAAATTGGATTTGACTGAATGAGAAAAAGTTATTCCTGATAGAGCTAATTTGCGTATCAAATTAAATAAAAGAGAATAATTTACTTCTGCTCGATTGCTTATAGTAACAGAGCATACCAAGCCTCTCGTGACGTAACAATAACTTAGATTGGAACTTACTAACCAAAAACAACAATACCACATGCCACCTGATACACGTTAAAGAGTCGAGCAGTAGAAGAAGAAAAGAAGCAGCAGAAGAAGAAGCTGCATTGTTCCGAGCTGGCAGCTGAGTTGGCATAATTAGTTAGCTGATGTGGCAAGTTAGTTACAAGTAGTTGCGATAGTTACAATTAGTTAGAAGTAAGCTTAACAAATTGTATTCTAGATTCTTCTAAATGAACTTATATAGCTGAATCAAATGTAATGGAGATACACTTTTGGAAGTTAATACAATCTGCTCTCTCAATTCTCTCTTCTCTTGAGCTATATTCTCGCAATTGCCTGACATAGCCATCACCTTCTTCGAGCTTCAGCTCCTAGAATTACTATTTTCCTCTGTTTTTCTGTTTCATTGCATCATTTGGTATGAGAGCTTCACGTCCTTGGCATCTTTAGTCATGACGCGCAGCAAAAATTCAGAGAAATCTGTTGAAGAATTAGAAGATAAACTGACAGCCATTAACGATCAATTGCAGAAGTTGATGGATGGGATGATGATTATAAACGAGCGTAATGTACAAACTGACAAGGAATTACTAGAACCGAAGGAATATATGGGAGCTATGAATCAGAAAAGGAAGGAAAAGGAACAAGTTAGAGCAGAATCTTCTAATGATCGAGCTGGGTCAACGGAGATGCAACGTGAATGAAGGATCAGAGATGGTCACCAAAGTGTAACTGCTAATGGTAACTTTTTCACTCGATACTCTAAACTTGAATTTCCTCGATTTTCTGGTTGCGATTTGAAGATTGGTTGTATAAAGTAGATCAGTTTTTCTCTATGGATGAAGTAGTTTTTGACCAAAGGGTTAAGGTAGCTTCTATTCATTTTGATGGAGAAGCTATTGCTTGGCATAGGTCATATATGAATTCTAGGAACTCAGTGTTAGAACCTACTTGGACTGAGTATGTATTGGCCTTAAATGAATGGTTTGGAGAGGGATTTGAAGATCATATGGAAGCTTTAAAAAATTTACAACAAGTTGGTAGTGTTAAGGATTATCAAGCAGAATTTGATAGATTGTTGACTGGGGTTAACTTGTCTAATGAAAATGCAATTAGTTATTTTTTAGGAGGCCTTAAACCAGAATTGAATAAAGCAGTGAGAATTCAATCACCTAGAACATTGCTACAAGCTTACAGAATTGCAAGATTACAAGAGGGGGTGTTTGAGGCTCAAGCTCAATCGTGGGGAATCAAGCCTGTCATTAGAACCAACACTGGCATATTACCTACTCCTAATCTCAATAAACTCCAGTATAACCAAAAGAACCTATTACCAAACTCCACTAACAAAAAGCCTTTTGAACCTAACCTTACTAACAACACTAGACTTCCTGGTAAGAGATTGAGCACAACTGAAATGGATGAGAGGAGATCGAAGGGATTATGTTTCTTCTGTGATGATAAGTATGTACCAGGTCACAAGTGTAAGAGTAACAAACAAATATACTTAGTAGAGGTGACAGAAGATGAAGGAGTGGAAGTAGAGGAAGCAGAAGATGGTATGCAAGAATTATTGGGGGATTCAAATGAGTTTATGGCCATTTCCTTACAAGCATTTATAGGTGCATCAGGTTATCAAACTATTAGAGTTACGGGATACCATGAGAAGAAGCCTCTACAAGTGTTGATAGATACTGGGAGTACTCACAATTTTATTGATGAGGAAGTAGCTGCAAGATTAGGCAGCAAAGCTTGCTCTATTCAAAAGCAATCTGTCAGTGTAGCAGATGGAAGAAAGGTGCAGACTGCTTCAGTTTGTAAGGATTTGCAGTGGTTATTACAAGGTACCACTTTTTCCTCTGACTTCCTACTACTACCACTGGGAAATATAGATATTATTTTGGGTGTGCAATGGTTGAATACATTGGGAAGGATACTGTTTGACTTTAAAAAGAGGACTATTGAATTCATGTATCAAGGAAAGAAGCATGTTCTTAGGGGTGCAAATGATCAGCTTAAGGCTGCTAAAGCTAAAAGTTTGATAAAGAAAGAGGGAGCAGATGCACAATTTTTCATGATGTCATTAGTGGCCAGTAGAGATGAGGACACCTATTGCCACAGTATACAAGCTACACCAAGAACTGATCCCTTACCAGATTTAACAGCTTTTATTAAACAATATGCCTGTATTTTTGAATTACCTACTACCTTACCACCTCACAGGGGGCCTTATGATCACAGAATACCTCTTAAGGAAGCTTCTAATCCTGTTAACAAGAGACCTTACCGATATCCTGGAATCAAGAAGGATATAATTGAGAAATTGGTACAGGAAATGCTAGACCAAGGGGTAATACAACATAGTACCAGTCCATATGCATCTCCTGTAGTGCTAGTGGGAAAGAAGGATGGTAGTTGGAGGCTATGTGTGGATTACAGGAGTTTGAATCAAATGACTATTAAAGATAAGTTCCCTATTCCCATGATTGAGGATTTGCTTGATGAATTAAGTGGAGCTAAGATTTTTTCCAAAATAGATCTTAGAGCTGGTTATCATCAGTTGAGAATGGCTGAAGGAGACATCAACAAAACTGCATTCAGAACTCATGAGGGACATTATGGATTTTTGGTAATGCCCTTTGGGCTAACCAATGCACCTTCTTCATTTTAGAGTTTAATGATGCTGTTTTTAAGCGATTGTTGAGGAAAGCAGTATTGGTATTCTTTGATGACATTTTGATTTATAGTAAGAATGTGGTTGTTCATGTGGATCATGTGAAGGCTGTATTTGAACTTATGAAGCAGCATCAACTATATGCCAAGATGTCAAAATGTGCCTTTGGAGTAGCTAAGGTCGAGTACCTTGGTCATTTTATCACTGCTAAGGGAGTATCTACGACCCAAAGAAAATTGATGCTGTACAGGAATGGCCTATACCTGTTAACATCAAACAGTTGAGGGGATTCTTAGGTCTTGCAGGATATTATAGAAGATTCATTTAAGGCTTTGGGACTATTTGTAGACCACTTCATGATCTACTGAAGAAGGATAGCTTTGTATGGAATGATGAAGCTACTACTGCATTCAAGAGTTTGAAGCAGGCCCTAGTTTCTGCTCCTGTATTAGTTATGCCTGACTACTCTAAACCCTTTATAGTAGAAACAGATGCTAGTAGCAAGGGCATTGGAGCTGTGTTGATGCAGCAAGGGCATCCTATTGCCTACATAAGTAAATGTAACACTCCTCAAATTTATAAAAGTGTCAAGATACGCTAATTATAGAACTAAATTATTATTATTACTATTATTTTTATTTTGCCTATAGTGAAATATATATATATATATATATATATATATATATATATATATATATGTGTGTGTGTGTGTGTGG